GGGAGCAGGATATCGATGCTGCTTGTCACTCCTTCATCAGATCAACGTCACTTACACACCAGCAGACACCTCACAGGGGACACCAGGGTGGCATGGCCGGGATGAGCAGAGCACGTTCCAGAGCCAGTGGGGAGCCAGGCTGCGGCTGGCAGCCACAAACCCATCTCTGGCGTCCTTGTCCCTTCCCCAGAGAGCTGTGGCTGCAGTGGGGCCATGTGCCAGCCCTGCCCTACCCAAGCCTCCCACCTGGCACGGCCCTCACACCCTCCAGCACATCCACGCCGTGGCCATGTCACAGCAGCAGCGGACAGGAGTGAGGCCGGGGCTGCCACCGGTGGATGATATTGGAGTGATCTTGAGGCCAGGAGGGAGCTTTGCCACGCGGGAGGAGAGGAGAGGAGCCGGCTGAGTCACCCGGTGCCGGCTGCTGACTCAGGCGCTTCCTGCCAGGTAACCTCCGCCGCCGGCGTGTGGGCTGCTGGGACAAGGATGTGGCACAGGGGACAGACGGGACCGTGGCACTGCCTGGCACACCAGCCCAGCACCCAGGGTGGGCTGAACTGGGAGTGTGCAAGGCCGCGCTGCACCGCGTGGTGACCCCTTTCTCCCTGGGGTCACCCTGGCACCGTGGCTGCTGGCCGTGGGAGCCACGAGGAGCCGGTGGCTCTCACCTCCCACCCGCCACCTCTGGGTGCCCACACACCCAGGGCGGGTGAGATTTGGCACAGCTGCTGGAGCCAGGGTTCCGGCAAACAGGCGTCTGGCTCCCAGGGCAGGAACCCTGCAGCTTCCTCCCGCCGGGCAGCGGGAGCAGCGGGGCTGGGAACCGCGCGGGCTTCGTGCAGCGGCTCCGCCAGGAAGCTGAATTTCCTCTGACGGCCCTGGCGCTGCCGCCTGGCACCGCTGCTCCCTCGCTGGTGCCGTGGCAGCAACTAACCCTCCTCTGCAAGCCCACGGAATCCAGCTCCACACATAAATTAACTCAGGCCGCTAATTAACGAATCTCTCCCGTGTCCCTCTGTGCAGTAGGGCTCGCTCTGGTTAGAGGCTGCTCTGCCTGGACCTGCGGCTCACCGGGGAGTTGGCCACCCATCTTCACCTCCCCTGCATCCACACACGCCCAGGCCCAGCCCCAGGATGTCCCCCAGGACTCCTCCAGAGCTGGGTCTCCCCTCCTCTCGCAGGGAACTGGGAAGGCTCAGCCCCTGTGCCCTCCCCGAGGCGATGCCCGCCCAGTGCTCGTCAAGGCGCTGGCGCGGCGCAACCATCCGTGAGGCTTCATTCAAATTTAACGACTGGCACGGGATATAAAAGGGAAGGGGCAGGGAGGAGCAGGGCTGCTGGGCACACGGTGTGTGCCGTGTGCCCCGGGCGTGCCACCCTGGCAGGACAGATGCCCAAACACCGGCGTGGGGCTGTGAGGAGCTGCCCCAAACGCCGCCAGGAGAAGCTGCCAGAAGCCAGGACAGTTCATCTCCACATGGCCACGCCAGCACTGCCAGCTACCTGCTGGCCGACCCAGGCCGTCCTCCCTGCATGCCTTTGGCTTGTTCTTGCCGTGTCTGGCTGGACACGTGCCGGCACCTGGCTGCCGCGGGCGGGTCGGGAGCCCTGAGCTCAGCGCGTTGGGCCCTGGTAGGTGTGGCTGGTGAATATTTCATGCCCGCGTTCACCGAGCCCTTTCTTGGTTACATTCCTGCCTCCTCCCCGCACTCTCACCATGTTTATTTATTTAATGAATTATTTATCGGCTCCCCCTCTCGCTCGGCTGGGCGCTGCCCCCTCCCCACTCCCCCGGCCCAGCTCCCAGCCCGGCGCGATGATTTATTGAATGCCGGCTCTGCTCTGCGGTTGCGACATTCTGTCACAGGAAGCCGCGGTTAAATATTAACCCAGGCGGGCCAAGCGGGTCCCCTGCCCCGCCGGGGACACGCTCCAGCCCCTCGGGGCTCGTGGATGCCAGGTGAGAGGCTTTCCCCACTGCTTTGACGCCAAAAGCTGCTGCTCCTTGTGATGGGCACAGCGTGGAGGAGACAGAGCAGGGAAGCAGAGCTGCTCCATGCCCTAGCTCTGGACAGCTCAAGACCTCATGTCCCCGCTGAGATCGAAGCCACCAGGGTGTGTCCCCACCCATCCCACCAGACAGCACCCCCCATTGTGCCAAAACCCGGCCAAGCCCCCTCTGTGTGCAATTCCAGGAGTAATTCCTGGTGGGTGCTGGCACCTGCACACACCGCGATGCTCCGGGGCCGTGTCCTGCCCCCCGGGTGCCTTCATCCCCACCGGAGCCCTCGGCGTGTCCCCCCGTGGCCCCGCACTGGGGCGTGCGTGGCGGGGGGACCCCCGTGGTGCGGGTGCTGCTGACGGCGGCGCGTGCGTTGCCATGAGCGGGGGGGTTTCCATGTGGAGGTGGGTGTTGCCATGGGTTTGCCGAGCCAAGGCGTTTCCATGGTGGCAGCGCGGTGCTCTGGGTCCTCCCAGAGGTGTGCAGCACCCTGGGATGCCACCGCTGCCACCTCACCGCAGCACCTGAGTGGCCCAGCCCCTGCAGCCCCTGCAGCCCCCTCCCCACCCCAGCTCTCCCCCGCTCCCACCCCCAGGCAGGCAGAGCCCTTTCCCACGTGTTGTGTTTTCTTCACTTCACTTCTTCGGATGAATAATTAATAGAGGCTTTTTTGGTCCTCCGGGCCCTTCCGCTGGCCCCCTCCCCCTTCCTGGAGGGGTTCTGGCTCCCAGTGCCACCAGTATGGATGGGCAATGGGGGTGGGGCACAGCCCTGCCGTGGGCATCACAGCACTGGGTCTCCCCCAGTGCTCAGGGGCCCTGCCCATCATCATCCTCCTTGTCCCTCTCCACGGCCTGGGGCAGCATCCACATGGCCTAAGGGACCCTGAGAAAAATGAGGTGGCTCTCCTCCCACTCTGAGCTCCTCCCAAAACTCTGGGCAGCCAGGAGACCCCCCAAGACTCAGCACCAGGGCACCTTCCCAGGCCTGAGAGCCACCAGGCCCACCGGGGACATGGGAACATGACATTTGGCAGTGCACCACCCTGGCCACGCTCACCACGCCAGCGAGATAGCTCCTGGCAGGAGCAGCTCAGGCCGGCTCAGCAAGCCCAGCCACGGCTTTGGGAACCTCCTGCTTTCATTCAAAGCTCCTCGAGGCTGCCAAAGCTCCCGGGATGCACGATGCCAGCACTGCCGGGGCAGAGGCTGCAGGGACGGTGCTGGTGGCATCGTGTGGGAGCTGGGGGCGAGCTGCACGTGCCCTCTGTGTGTGCCCGCTGAGCTGCGTGTGCCCAGCAAGCTGTGTGTGCCCTCTGAGCTGTGCATGCCCAGTGATCTGCGTGTGCCCAGTGAGCTCCATGTGCCCAGCAAGCTGTGTGGGCCCACTGAGCTGTGCGTGCCCTCTGAGCTGTGTGTGCCCAGTGAGCTCCATGTGCCCAGCAAGCTGTGTGGGCCCACTGAGCTGTGTGTGCCCTCTGAGCTGTGCATGCCCAGTGATCTGCGTGTGCCCAGTGAGCTCCATGTGCCCAGCAAGCTGCGTGTGCCCAGCAAGCTGTGTGTGCCCTCTGAGCTGTGCATGCCCGGTGATCTGCGTGTGCCCAGTGAGCTCCATGTGCCCTCTGAGCTGTATGTGCCCAATGAGCTCCATGTGCCCTCTGAGCTGTGCATGCCCAGTGATCTGCGTGTGCCCAGTAAGCTCCATGTGCCCAGCAAGCTGTGTGGGCCCACTGAGCTGTGTGTGCCCTCTGAGCTGTGCATGCCCGGTGATCTGCGTGTGCCCAGTGAGCTCCATGTGCCCAGCAAGCTGCGTGTGCCCAGCAAGCTGTGTGTGCCCTCTGAGCTGTGCATGCCCGGTGATCTGCGTGTGCCCAGTGAGCTCCATGTGCCCTCTGAGCTGTATGTGCCCAATGAGCTCCATGTGCCCTCTGAGCTGTGCATGCCCAGTGATCTGCGTGTGCCCAGTAAGCTCCATGTGCCCAGCAAGCTGTGCGTGCCCTCTGAGCTGTGTGTGCCCAGTGAGCTGTGCGTGCCCGCTGAGCTGCATGTGCCTAGCAAGCTGTGCGTGCCCAGCAAGCTGTGCGAGCCTGCTGAGCTGTGCGTGCCCACTGAGCTGTGCGTGCCCACGCCGGTGCGAGCGTGCCCGTGCGTGCACACGTGTGCCAGGGCGCCGATCGCCTGGCACTGGGCTCTGCCGGGCGGCACTGCACGGCAGTTGCTAAGGGATCTCACCGAGGTCGGACAGTGGGAGCTGGCACTCAGCTCAGTCCCCACAGCCCCCGGGGCTCCCCCAGGAACTGCACCCCACGAGCCCTGGCGGTGTGGGAAGAACGAGGGCCTGGCCATGCGGGTGGGCACTTGGCCAAGTGCTGGCTCCTGGGCAGGGGGCAGAGCCTGGCACTGTCTGTGCTCCTCGGTAGCCAGGCTGCCCTGGGACATGGGCACACTCCCTCCCACCCTGTGCCTCCAGGGTGGCCAAACCCCTCTGTGAGCACATGTGACCCCCATGGCACTGGCAGCAGCACCTCAGGGGCCCTGACCCCCACCCAGGGCTCCCCCAGCAGCGCAGACCCCCAGGGGCTGCTGCCCCAAGGCCAGAGCTCCCAGCCACAGCCACCCCAGTCGTGGTGGCTCCTGGCTCTGATGCCCCCAGCTGTGGGTGACCCAGTGGCACCCGATCCCGCAGGGACAGGCGTGGGTGCACCAACGTGTGGGTGCCCCCCGGGGGTCCCAGCGAGACCCCGATGGCAGCAGGGCCTTACACAGGGACACCCCCCGCCCGTGGGGGTCCTGGCGAGACTCCGGTGGCACCTGGTCCTCCTGGGACCCGGCCGCGGTGTCTGCACCCGCGGGGACCCGCAGCCCCGAGCCCGCTGCCGGTGCCGAGCCGGTGCCGGGGCGGGCCCGGGGCGGCGGCGGGA